GATAATATATTAAATGTGGATGATAATGATTATAACAGTATGATAATAATATACTGATAATTAATGATTATAATAATAAATGCAACTAATGATGATGATGATATATAGAGATAATTATGATAATTAATGATATGATAATTATAATTAATATGATGATAAATGATTCATGGTATTAATCATTGAATGTTCAATAACGAAGTAAAATAATGATGATAATAATGATAATGATAATGATCATAATAAATAATAAGATATAATGATATTATTAATAATAATAATGAGAATAATAGTAATAATAGAAGCAATGATAGTAATGATAATAATACTAATAACGTTAAGAATAATAGTGATAATGATGATAATGATAATAACAATTATTTATGATAATAAGAGTAAAAATAATAAGAAGAATAGTAATAATAATGATAATACTAACAATCCTCATCCTTATCAGTATGATAATGATAATGATAATGATACTAGTAAAGTATTGATGAAAATAATTATAGCAGGAAAAATAATGAACATGATAAAAAAAAAAACAATAATAATTAGTCCTCAGAGAGCGCATACCTCCGCCAAGGCAATAATGTCACTTGAAGACTTAAATAAAAATAATTTCTTTCTCAAGTACTCGTAATAATATTAATGATGATAATAATGATGATGATAATGATAATGATAATAATAATAACAACAATAACAATGATGCAAATAATCATAATAATGGTAATAATGATAATGATATTCATAATAATAATAAAGATAATAATAATAATAATAATAATAATAATAATAATAATAATAATAACAATAATGATAATAATAGTTATTATTATGATAATGATTATTATAGTTATTACAATAATAATGATAATGAAGGTAATATTGATGAGAAAACTATAAAAAGAGAATGATAGTTATAATGATGATAAGGATCATAACAAAATTAATAATGATAGCTATAATACTATTGGTAATAATAGTATTACAATATAAGAATAATGATGATATTAATAATAATGATAATGGTAATAATGAGGATAATATTAATAATAGTAATAAAGATGATGATAATAACAAAAGTAGAAATAAAATGATGAATAACAAAAGTAAAATAAAAATGATAATAACAAAAGTAAAAATAAAAATGAAAAATGATAATGGCTTTATAAATGATGATAGTTAAAAAAAATCCATAACTAATAATAATAAAGACAAGAGCAATTACGACGATAGAAATAACAATAAGAATAATGATGAACCGTGTCCGTATAGCCAAGTGTCATCTCAGGGGAGAGCACAAGGTCGATTTTAGCTTGTCCGAGACCTTGCGGTGAAAAAAGTGAATATCGTTTTATTATAAAGAAATTTTGAAACCTTTTGTAAAAAAAAAAAAAAATGAATATCGTTTTATTATAAAGAAATCTTGAGACCTTTTTCTTCGGCGCTTTGACCGGTTCCAGTGATTCTCAAAAAAAAAAAAAAAAAAAAAAAAAAAAAAAAAAAAATCCTTTTATTATAAAGACAGTTTGAAACCTTTGTAAAAAAAAAAAAAAAAAAAAATCCTTTTATTATAAAGACATTTTGAAACCTTTTGTAAAAAAAAAAAAAAAAAAAAAAAATGAATATCGTTTTATTATAAAGACATTTTGAAACCTTTTGTAAAAAAAAAAAAATGAAATACCGTTTTATTATAAAGAATCTTGAGACCTTTTCTTCGGCGCTTTGACCGGTTCCAATGATTCTCAAAAAAAAAAAAAAAAAAAAAAAAGTGCACCTCGCTACTTTGCTTAAGCTCAGGCGGAAGCGATTCTCCCATATAATATTCATTTGATTTTTAATATATTTACTTCACTGGTTTCACTGCATGACGGAATCAACGAAGCGAAGTCGTCTCATTCTAACAATTTGATGATGATTGTGATAATAAGAAGAATTAAACCTTTTTTTTGCCAAAGTAATGATAATATAACATACGGATAATGTTTAATAATAGGAGGGATAATTGCCCGGTTTGTTAGAATTGTGCCAGGCCCGACCCAATGAATTTTCATAAATAAATAGAAATAAATACAGACGCAGAAAAAAGGCATTTCCGTTTATATATCTGATAGATACACATTTAACTATCTATTTGCCCGGTTGATATGCATGTCTAGCCTGATATATATACATTTAATTCTTTATTTATGCATGTCAAGTATACGAATATTCTTTGGGTCGGGCCTGGCAAAAATTATCCGTATGTTATATCATCATTACTTTGGCAAAAAAAAAAGGTTTCATTGTTCTTATTATCGTAATCATCATCATCAAATTGTTAGTCATTATTAGCTGTTCGTCACAACTGCACCCGAATCCTCAGACACTTTGAAACGATACGTCACTATACACAAACACAATAACCATAACGATATTCTGCACATAACAATGACAGACAAGTTATAGACATAACAATAATAGACAATAATAATAATAATAATAATAATAATAATAATAATAATAATAATAGACAAGACATAACAATAACAAAACACGAATAACAGACAAGTCCCAAAACAGACATTGCGCATCAGTCAGAGTAACCACGCCTCTCTCACGCCTTCCCAACAGGTAGAGTCCGCCCACACCACGTCAGACCGTGGGCGAGCAAAACCTTGGGTGTGATTTTGACTATGGTGATCCTACTCGTCATCTACATCGCATTCACACCATCGTATTCCAGTAAGTAACTTTCATAAGTCTTTATAAAAGAGTAATGTTATTTCCTAAGTTTTTTTTCTCTATTTAATGTTATTTCCTATCTTTTATAACTATTTATCCTATTTAATGTTAAGTATTTTCTAAGTATCTTTTATGTTTTTATTCTAAGTATATTTCATGTTTTTTCCTATCTAATGTTATTTCCTAAGTATCTTTTATGTCTTTATCCTATTTAATGTTAAGTATTTCCTATCTTTTATAAATTTAATCCAATTTAATGTTAAGTATTTCCTATCTTTAATAAGTTTAATCCTATTTAATAAGTATTTCCTAAGTATTTTTATGAGTTTTTATCCTATTTAATGTTAATTATTTCCTATCTTTCATGTTTTTTTTTTTATTTCTATCCTATTTGATGTTGAGTATTTTCCTAAGTATCTTTTATGTTTAATCCTATTTAATGTTGTGTTTTTTCTACGCTCCTGATGGTGATGGATATGATGTTATTGTTATCATTTTTTTGTTAGTAGTAATAGTAGTATTCGTGTTAGTATTAGTATCCAAAATAAATTTAATCCAATTTAATGTTAAGTATTTCCTATCTTTAATAAGTTTAATCCTATTTAATAAGTATTTCCTAAGTATTTCTTATTTTTTATCCATATCTTTATTATTGTTATTATTGTTATCTCATTATTTTCATTATCATTATTATTATCATTGTTATTATTATCGTTATCATTGTTATTATTATTATTGCTATTTTCGTCATTATTTTTTTTTCTTATTATAATCATAATCATCATTACTGTTATCATGTTATTTTCATTATTTTCGTTATGTTATTATTAGCATTAATATTATCACTGACATCATTATTATTATTATGATTATTTTTGTTATCATTATTATTATCATTATCATTACTAAGATTATTATCATTATTCTTATTATCATTATAATTTGTCACCACCATTATCATCATTGTCAATCACATCATTATTATTATTAATATTATCGTTATCCTCATAATAGTCATTATCACGCTCATTATTTCCAACAATAGCACCTTCATAGGAACATCATCATCATCATCATCATCTTTTTGGTTATTATTTCTTCGAGTAATAACGACAGGAACATGAAAGTGATTTTTGTTTATATTTTTCTTTTTTTCTTTTCTTTTTTTCTTCAGGCTGCCTCCTGAAAGCTCTGAAAGGCCCTTTGGCAGTCGATGACCCAGAATTCCTGACCTACCTGAGGCAAGAGGTATGTGATGATATTGGTAATAATGATTATCACAATTATCATCAATATTACATACATTTTGTATGTGTGTGGGTGCGTGCGTGTGTGTGCATTCCGTGCGGGCATGCTCGTGTTTTTTTTTTTTTATTATTGTGTGTGCATGTATATATATATATATATATATATATATATATATATATATATATATATATATATATATATATATATATGTATGTATGTATGTATGCATCTGTTGTATTATTAGTATTGTTATTATCATTATTGTCATTAGCATTACTGTTATCATTATTATCATCATTTATTATATTGCCATTATTATTGTTACTATTTAATGTAATTCTTTTTATCATAATAACTGTTGTTATTATCATCGTTATCATTATTATTTTTGTTATTACTATCATAACTATTATATTATTGTCATTTTTATTATTATTATCATCATAATTATTAATATTATTTCTATCATTATTATTATTATTATTATTATTATTGTTATTATTATTATTATTATTATTATTATCGTCATCATTATTATTATTATCATTACTACTGTTTTATCATTACTATTATTAACATTAATGTTATATTCATCTTTATTATCATTATCATTATCTTATCATTATTATCACTATAATTTTAATCATAGTTCTAATCACTGTTTTTATCATTATCATTATTATCATTATCATTGTTAATATTATTTATTAGTAGTAGTATTATCATTATTATTATTTTCATAATTACCATTATCATCATAATCATCATTACTGTCACCATCAATGTGAATGATTTGATTCTATTGTAAGTCAAAGGATGTTTTTAAACATATGTTAGAAAATATGGAACAGAGTTTCGCTTAAAAAATGCAATGCAATAATTAAACATGAACATCGATAATAATCAGAAACTTCATGCATAGGAAAGCATTATTATATTAATACCCATAATGATAATTAATGATATTAATGATAATGGTAAAAGTAGTAGTAGTTGTAGTACAGGTAGTAATGATGATGGTAAAA